AGGAGACGGGGAGGCGACGGTGTTCGGCGGCGAAGGGCACGACGTCGGGGAGGGGAGGCATTCCCTCGATCCGATCTGGATCGGGGAGGAGGGGGGAAGCGAGTGGGGGGCGATTGGGGAGTGGGCGGTTAGGGTTACAGGGGGAGTGGGGAGTTATGGGGAGAGGGAGTGGTTGGGCCGGCCTGGTGGGGTGGCCGGCTGGGCCGGTTGGGTTGGCCCAGTTGGGCCACGGCCCAGGGGGGTTTCTCTTTTTTTCTGTTTTGTTTTTATCTATTTGCATTTCTGTTTTTAAACATTTTAAATTATTTATACATTTTATAAAAATGTGTTTGCTGCACCATAATTACCTTTGTAATATTTGGCAACCACCGAACATTTTTGTTTCAATTTTTGAAAACTTTTATTGCCGACATTAATTTTAAATTTGAATTTGACGTGGTTTGAACTAACGGACGTTTAGCAACAGTAATCGGGATGACATGGCATGATTAGCGTGGGATTACTGTAGCAAGATTATCCAGGCGTTACACATTCAGGCCCCTCGCAGTTGCGAGTCGATGGTGGACTTGCAATTGGGGCAATCATGGAAAAAAAGAAAAAAAAACAAACTAGTTGCGAGTCGATGGTCGAGTTGCAACTGGGGCATTCAGGCCCTCGCAGTTGCGAGTCGATGCTAGAGTTGCAATTAGGGCAACCATGGCAAACAAGAAGACAAAAAATTGACCAGTTGTGAGTCGATGGTCTAGCTGCAAGTGGCATCAAGTAAACACCCCCTCCCCCCCCGAAGTAGCGGGTCGGGGGTCGAGTTCCAACAGGGGCATTCGGTCCCTCACAGTTGCGAGTCGATGGTAGACTTGCAACTGGGGCAATTATGGCAAAAAAGAAAGACAACAAAACATACCACTTGCGAGTTCATGGTCGAGTTGCAAAGTGGCACCGAGTAAACACCCCCCAGTTGGAAGTCGATGGTCGAGTCGCAACTGGGGCATGCGGGGCCCACGGTTCCTTGTATTTCATCGGTAAAACCAAAAAGTTGCTTGTATTTACAAGGAAAGTAATTATGAACAAACAAAAACAACAAACAACAACAGTAACAACAACAACACACAACAAAAACAGACCAGTTGCAAGTCCAAGGTCGAGTTGCAAAGTGGCATTGAGTAAACACCCCCCCCTTGAGTTGCGAGTCGATGGTCGAGTTGCAGCTGGGGCATTTGGGGCCTTGCAGCTGCGAGTTGATGGTGGACTTGCAATTGGGGCAATTATGGCAAAAAAGAAAGACAAAAAAAGACTAGTTGTGAGTCCAAGGTCGAGTTGCAAGTGGCATCGAGTACACCCCCCCTGAGTTGCGAGTCGATGGTCGAGTTGCAAGTGTTGTGTGGGCCCTACAGTTGCGAATCGATGATGGACTTGCAACTGAGGCAATATGGCAGTAAAAGAGAAGACAAAAAATCATACCAGTTGCGAGTCCAAGGTCGAGTTGTAAGTGGCACCGAGTAGACACCCCAATTGCAAGTTGATGGTCGAGTTGCAACTAGGGCATGCGGGGCCCACCGGTCCTTGTATTTCTTCGGTGAAACCAAAAAATTGCTTGTATTTACAAGGAAAGTAATTGTGAACAAGAAAGAACAAACAAACAACAACAACAACAACAACAACAACCCGATGGTCGAGTTGTGAAGTGGAGCATTTGGGGCCTTGCGGCTATGAGTTGATGGTGGACTTGCAATTGGGGCAATTATGGCAAAAAAGAAAGACAAAAAATAGACGAGTTGCAAGTCCAAGGTCGAGTGGCAAGTGGCATCGAGTAAACACCCCCCCACCCCCGAGTTGCGAGTCAATGGTCGAGTTGCAAGTGCCGTGTGGGCCCTACAGTTGCGAATCGATGATGGACTTGCAACTGGGGCAATTATGGCAATAAAAGAAAAGACAAAAAATCATACCAGTTGCAAGTCCAAGGTCGAGTTGTAAGTGGCACCGAGTAGACACCCCAATTGCAAGTCGATGGGCGAGTTGCAACTAGGGCATGCGGGGCCCACTGGTCCTTGTATTTTGTTGGTGAAACCAAAAAATTGCTTGTATTTACAAGGAAAGTAATTGTGAACACACAACGGTCAAGTTGTAAGTGGCACCGAGTAGACACCCCAATTGCAAGTCGATGGGCGAGTTGCAACTAGGGCATGCGGGGCCCACTGGCCCTCCCCCGACCCACCAGTTGCGGTCGCCTTATATATGTCTTGCGGTTGGGCTTGGTAGATGCGATTGTGCTGGGGATGGGCGCTTGCAACTACAACAAAAAAACTAACAAAAAAATGGAACTAATTTCATTGGCGCCGACAAACCCTCCACCCCGACGTCTGGTTGCACTTGGGTGTGCTAAGTTGTGATTGCGCTCTGCTTAGGGCGGTTGCAACTAAAAGAAAAAAAAACTAAAAAAAATGGAACCGATTTCATCGGCGGCGACAAAAGCCCTTCGCCCCGACCCCGGTTGCATTCGCCTTATATGTCCTATGGTTGCTGAGTTACAGTTGTGCTCGTGTAGGGCGGTTGCAACTACAACAAAAAAAATCTACCAAAAAATGGAACCGATTTCATCGACGCCCACAAACCTCCGCCCCGATGCCCGGTTGCGGTCACATTATATGGCTTATAGTTGCGCTTGGGTGTGTTGAGTTGCAATTGTGCTCGGGGTGGGATGGTTGCAGCTGCAAAAAAATACGTAACAAAAAAAAGGAATGCGATTTCATCGGCGCCGACAACTCCTCCCGTCTCGGCCTCCGGTTGCGGTCACATTATATGTCCTGCAGTTGCGCTTGGGTGTGTTGTATTGCGATTACGCTCGGACTGGGTCGGTTGCAAGAACAACAAAAATCCCTAAACAAAACACAAAAAAGATTTCATCGACGCCAACAAAAAGATTGGAGGACCAACAGAACGGCCGGATTCTTACTTCGAAAAATGCCGCCACCACCGATCTCCCGCAGCAGGCTCTTCCCGAGTCTCAGCCGCCACCAAGAAGACACAAAGAGAAATGAAAAAAGGGGTGATAAGACACGGGCTTCCTATATCCAACACAAGTGGGCTTTGTCAGCAAAAAAAGAAAAACAAGCACGCGACAAAAAAAAAACAGGCCACGAGCGGGACAATAGATGGGCTGTGCCTCCCGTCGTTACGAAGCTCTCTACAGGAGGAAAACACGAATCGTGGCGCAGCTCAATCAGACGGCCAAAAAAGTGAATGAGACCAATTTGATTCTCAGCTGAATGAGTTTTAGCAAATCCGTATAAAGAATAGAGGTGATATACGTTGATGAAGCAGTCGTGGAAGAAGAGGCGGAGGACGGCGGGCACCATCCTCGGCTGGGCGGCGACGCTGCTCGCCATCACTGACCGCACAACGCGATGCACGTTGGGGCACGTCTTCTCGTAGTAACCCGGGGAGAGCTCGTCGCCATTGGCGGTGGCAGCGAGAGCAACCAAGAGGAGCAGCGCAAGTGCAAGCCAAGAAGGGACGCTGGAGGACGCCATGCCTATGGTCTGGTGTGTGGTGATGAGAAGAATCAAGCAGGGTCCGGTGTGTGGTGATGAGAAGAATCAAGCAGGCAAGGAGAGAATGCGATGCTTAGCTTGCTTGCAGTGCACGAGTGTGGGGAACATGAATGGATGCATGTGCTTATATAGAGTTCGATTAGTGCTGCCTTCTCCCCGTGCATGTACAATGCTAAGTAAACTGCCCGTGTGTCTAGGATTTTCGGTGCATGTACAAGCTGCATGCAGGCTTTTACGCCCGTGTGTCATGTGCGAACGCTCTGTAATTCAGCACCACTCACAAGCCGCAGCCTCGTGCTTCCATTCAGGGTGATTGACGAGGTCATGACTGACAGAAGAGAAAACAAAAGCGCAGGGAATTGACAGGCTAACTAATACACGTACAAAACTAATGATGCAGCCTCGTGCTTGAATTGCACGCGTCGACATGGTTGCTTGCTTGGATGGTGCAATTCTCTGGAATCATTAATTGGCTGGAATCAAATGGTGTTAGAGAATGGGCAATGACAAACTGTTGAATCGCAAACATGCATGTTGTCCACTTGGACTGTTTGCCTAATTCAAAAGATGAGCGGTCGACTTTTGCATGGTCTGAGAAAACACCCTCTAAGCACATGCTTTAGAGCAAAATCGGTCCACTCGTGTGCCCAGAAGCCCAATTTTTGCCGGTTAGGACCGGAATTGACGCCGGCGGACCCAGGTCGAAACCGACGCGTTGCGGGGGTGCCCGGGGAAACGTTTTTAACGCGAAAGTCTGATGGATCCGCCGAGTCAGCGACTGCGACGCCAAGAATCTACGTCGTCCTCATCGCCTCGGTTTCCCGCGGGAATCAATGCGAAGGCTGTCGCCGGTCAGCCTTCCATTGATTCATGGGCGGCGCAGTGAAGACCCGCCACCATCATGCGTCCCGCCCCATCCCGTCACGCGTCCACACTGCTGTTGCCCGCTCGCCGCCCACTCGCCGCTATAAAAGCCACACTCCCTCACCGATGGCAGCACACTTCACTACTAGGGAAAACCCTAGTGCTATCGCTTATTTTATAGCTAGTTGTAGCGCTTGTACAAGCCTTATCACTAAGGCCCTACAGTTAACTGGTAGCAGTACCGTTTCCCCCCAAAAAACGCTACTGCTAATAGTAAGTAGCAGTAGCGTTTTTTTTGAAAAGCGATGCCGCTAACTTTTCCTGTATTTTTAGAAATACAGCTTATTTTCGTTGTGGTTTTATATACAGTACTTTCATCATATGATTTTATGACCATGATTAGTTATTATATATAACAATGGGTGAATGAATGTGGAGTAAATTCAAGTGGAGGCAACATGTGGTGCATGTCGAAAGTACTACTAATCCAAACTTGATCTAGTTTGGATTAGTAGTACTTTCGATGTGCACCACATGTTGCCTCCACTTGAATCTAATCCATATTCATTTTACCTACTGATATATATAATAAATCATCATGCTCATATAACAACTTAGCATCATGCATTATCGATCATAATAATAAATAACTCATCATTGGTATCATAATAACAATTCATATTCATCATCATCGATCATACAACTTCTACTCGATATCATAATAACAAGTCATACTCATCATCATCATAGTCATCTAACCAATCCTACTTAGTTGTTCTTAGCACATGATCACGAGTATTAGCTAGGACCTAAATACCCTCTCTAAGGTAAAATAGTATAAAATAAGATAGGCCCTGACTCTCCATTATGGAGAATGGAGATTATCTCGTCTCCAATTCTTGCCCTTTGCACAATGTTGCTTCCAAGTAGCTCCCTATGATTGACCATACATTTTTTCCAATCTATGATTGTCATGTCTTCATCGATTTTAGAAATCTGGTATGGATAGGACTGATTCCTAGGATGACCTGGCCATAAGTTCAAAACATCAAGGCGACCTATCCGAAACATCAGATGAGGTACACAATCCTTTGGGATTTTCTGTTGGAAAACATAGTAATGACTTCGTAGTTAGCAATGTAGTTGTGTTTTAGAAGAATTTATAAAAAAGATGCACGGATGTCGTAATAGTAAAAAAATCATACCATGACATCTCCATGGATCTTACCGTAGTTCAACACGTGCACTAGTGGTACGTATTGACCATAATGTGGAGGAGTTTGATAATAGATATTGTAATTTTCAAGATCAGTAATAAGTGAGATCAGATGATTTTTCTCCTGATAAGTTAATTCTGATCCATGTCATAATTAACCCATTTCTTCAGTTTTTCAAAATAAGTATTGTTGATTTTCTATGTTGCTATAAACCCATTTCCTCTACAATTGTTACTGATCTAGTTTTAAATATTATAGGATGAATGAAAGTGTTCTTACTTGGAGTGGGTTGATCAAGAGTGGCTGATAACCCACAAGTATAGGGGATTGCAACAGTTTTCGAGGGTAGAGTATTCAACCCAAATGTATTGATTCGACACAAGGGGAGCCAAAGAATACTCTCAAGTATTAGCAGCTGAGTTGTCAATTCAACCACACCTAGAAACTTAATATATGCAGCAAAGTGTTTAGTAGCATAGTAATATGATAGTAGTGGTAACGGTAGCAAAAGGTAACGGTAGTAAAAGCAATGTTTTTGGTATTTCGTAGTGATGATAGCAATAGCAACGGAAAAGTAAATAAGCGAAGAACAATATATGGAAAGCTCGTAGGCAATGGATCGGTGATGGAGAATTATGCCGGATGCGGTTCATCATGTAATAGTCATAACCTAGGGTGACACAGAACTAGCTCCAGTTCGTCAATGTAATGTAGGCATGTATTCCGAATATAGTCATACGTGCTTATGGAAAAGAACTTGCATAACATCTTTTGTCCTACCCTCCCGTGGCAGCGGGGTCCTTACGGAAACTAAGGGATATTAAGGCCTCCTTTTAATAGAGAACCGGCACAAAGCATTAACACATAGTGAATACATGAACTCCTCAAACTACGGTCATCACCGGTAAGTATCCCGATTATTTTCACTTCAGGGTTAACGGATCATAACACATAATAGGTGACTATAGACTTGCAAGATAGAATCAAGAACACTCATATATTGATGAAAACATAATAGGTTCAGACCTAAAATCATGGCACTCGGGCCCTAATGACAAGCATTAAGCATAGCAAAGGCATAGCAACATCAATCTCAGAACATAGTGGACACTAGGGATCAAACCCTAACAAAACTAACTCGATTACATGATAGATCCCATCCAACCCATCACCGTCCAGCAAGCCTACGATGGAATTACTCACGCACGGCGGTGAGCATCATGAAATTGGTGATCAAGGATGGTTGATGATGACAATGGCGACGGATTCCCCTCTCTGGAGCCCTGAACAGACTCCAGATCAGCCCTCCCGAGAGGTTTTAGGGCTTGGCGGCGGCTCCGTATCGTAAAACGCGATGATTTCTTCTCTCTCGATTTTTTTCTCCCCGAAACACAATATATGGAGTTGGAGTCGGAGAGGCAACAGGGGGCCCATGAGGTAGGGGGCGCGCCCCCCACCCCCGTGGAGAGACGGTGGGCCCCCTGGCCTTCATCTTTGGCAGGTATATTTCTTATTTTCTGAAAAGTGGCTCCGTGAAGTTTCGGGTCATTCCGAGAATGTTTGCTCCTGCACATAAATAACATCATGGTAATTCTGCTGAAAACAGCGTCAGTCCGGGTTACTTCCATTCAAATCATGCAAGTTAGAGTCCAAAACAAGGGCAAAAGTGTTTGGAAAAGTAGATACGTTGGAGACGTATCAGTGGCCATAGTCTTTGAAGATGTGCCTAGCAAAGCTCTGAAGCATGTATGAGGAACAGAACAGAGGTAGGCTTAGAGAAAGTGTTGTCAACGCTGAAGAATATTTGAAAATGCGGGATAAAAAGAGGAAGGCGGAGAATGAGCTCAGATTTTTTAAATCAGACTTTGCTAAGATGGTGTTGGCAAAGGAGGAGACACTTTCCCAATTTGACACTGCAAAACATGTTCTTACTGAACTGAAAGCAGAGGTGGATAATACGTTCCCAGATGATCTCGATTAGGGAAATGCATATATTGTTCTAATATTATTCTTATGAAGTTGAACTAGCTATATGTTGTACTGTGTTGTTTTCAGGTAGCTATCGTACTATGATGTTAAAATATATTTTATGTGCGTGATATGAAATTGGCAAACAGCTGTTCGATATGAAATGTGAATTTGCGTAATACTAGAATTATTAATTGTAAACTAATAAACCTGCTAAATGGGTCATGGAACTTTGCAAACGGTTCTAGCAGTAAAAGCACTTGTGATTGATAGCCCAATGCCACACAGTTTTCTTCATCAAATTGTGTGTTATGTAGTTGATAAAAGCAAATGGTTAACCAAGGCAGTGTGTGTGTGTGTGTGTGTGTGTGATAGTTACACCTTTCACACACGAGCCTATACATAAAACTATGTGGGATGTACATACGAACGAAAACGTTTTCTCTGGATTGACTGTGTGGGATATACATAAGAACGGAAACGTATTCCTTGGATTGAATGTGTGTGATATACATATGAACAGAAATGTTTTTCTAGGATTCACCGGGTGGGATGTACATATGAATGGAAACGATTGGGTTTCGATGCCTCGCCCGATCGCACACGAGCTCATTTTGCCCCGGCCTATGTGCCAGGAGGGCCTATCCTCGACGGTTTCTGGGTCGTGTGGGAAGGACCCCCCTATCGCCCACACTCACTTGGCAACGGTTCCAAATGCCATTGCGGAAAGGGGTTAAAAACCGTTTGTATAGCACCGACGTGTACCGGTGCTAGGGAAACCCTAGGGTAGCTTGCCCCCCAAGCCACGTGGAGGTAGCCCTTGGGGGGCACCCCACCTCCTCTGGTGATTGGGGGAAGGGTGAGGGGGGCGCACAACCCCTTAGTCGGCTGTGTGCTCCCTCCCCTTGGCCCATGAGCCCCCCAACTATT